TATTTAATGTAGGGAATGCCCCAACTTTTGTGACTAGGGTTAGAGAGGAGGTACTGGATATCACATTCGGCAGTCCGAATGTGGGGTTTCTGGTACGCGACTGGAAGGTATCGGGGGAGGTTTCTATGTCAGATCATAGAATCATCCGGTTTTGTTTGGGTGGGTTGATGGAGGAGAAATCTTCCTTCAGAAATCCGAGGCGGACAAATTGGGAGGGATACAGAAGGGACCTGGAGGCAAAACTGTCGGGTGCCTCGGTTAGAACTGTGGCCAGGCATCCCCTGATGTTGGAAAGGGCTGTGGAGGAGCTCGGGGGAATTATGGTCGAGGCTTTTGAGTCGAACCTGCCCCATTAGTGTGCCAAGGGATTTCACAGATGCACCTTGGTGGACCCCGCGATTAGAAAACCTGAGAGTGGGGGTTCGCAGGCTTTTCAATAAAGCTAAGCGAGAGGCTACTTGGGAAGAGTACAAGATGAACCTGACAGCTTACAGCAAGGAGATCCGCAGGGCTAAACGCAGAAGCTTTAGATCATTCTGCGGGAGCATAGCGGAGACGCCGGCGGCTGCGAGGCTGCACAGGGCCCTGGCTAGAGACAGGGTGCCAGTGACTGCTTCTTTAAGGAGGCCGGATGGCGGCTACACGGAGAACGAGGAGCAAAGGGCTCTTCTTGTCCTGGAGGCGCATTTCCCTGGCAGCACTTCGTATGTCGGATCCGGGGCGTGGGAATGCAGAACACCACGTCCTGAGGATTGGCGGAGAGCTGCGCGCATAATTACGGAGAAAAGAATAAGGTGGGCTGTTGGCACTTTCCAGCCCTTCAAGTCGTCGGGAGTGGATGGGATTTCACCAGCACTTCTGCAACGCGGGCTGGAGCCAATTATGCCTTTCTTAATAAGAATATTTAGGAGTAGCTTGGCTCTCGGATACATTCCCGAGTCCTGGCGGGTGGCTAGGGTTGTCTTTATTCCCAAAGTGGGAAGAAGGAACATGGTGCCAAAGTCATTCAGACCGATGGAGAAAATAATTGATAACCATGTCCGGGTGGGGTTGCTGGCGAGGAGGCCGCTGAGCGATTGCCAGCATGCGTATCGGGCGGGAAGGTCAACACGGACTGCTCTGTTTCGCCTTGCCAGTACCCTAGAAAGCACAATAGAACAGGGGGAGGTGGCGCTATGCGCGTTTCTGGACATCGAGGGTCCTTCGACAACACTTTTCATGAGGCGATTGCGGGCGCGCTGAGGCGTAGAGACGTGGATGATGGCACCTCTCTATGGATGCACAATATGTTGGCTACGAGGGTAGCAGAGACTGCTGTGGGGCAGAGCACCCTAAGAATGCGGTGGCCAGGGGATGTCCACAGGGTGCGGTTCTGTCCCCGCTAATGTGGAGTTTGGTGGTGGATGAACTCCTTGATGAGCTGCTTCGTCAGGGTGTCGGTGTCCAGGCTTTGATGAGGTAAGTTTGACGGAACTCTTTGTGATGTAGTCCAAAGGGGATTACGGGTGGCCCGGACCTGGTGCGATACAGTGGGCCTCAGGCTTAACCCTGACAAGACTACCCTGGTGCCTTTCACTAGGAGAAGGAAGCTGGAGCACCTGCGCACAATATACGTGTGCGGAGCGGCTGTAGAGAGAAAATCGGAGGTCAAATACTTAGGAGTGGTGTTTGATTCCAAGCTTCTTTGGCGAAGTATGGTCTGCAGGGCCATCTCGGGCAGGTCGTAGGGCTGCTCCTCGTCTGTCATGTGGTGGATGTATACAATGATGGTCGTGCCGCTCCTAACTTATGGAGCAGTGGCATGGGCAAGAAGGGTGGCTCTTGGCACGGCTAGAAGGAACCTGGAACGATTGACTCTCGTCTCGTCAGAGACTCGCATGCGTCTGCATTACAGGGGCTATGAGAACTTGTCCAACTGTGGCAATGGAGGTGATTTTGGGACTAACCCCCTTGCACTTTGTTGTGGAGATAGCAGCGAAGGCTGCCATTTTCAAGTTGGGAAGAAATGGCGCCGGAGTAATCGGTGTTAGAGATCGGGGTCGTCTTGTCGGGGAGGTTCCGCTCCTATCGATGCCTAGGGACGACATGGTAAGGAGATACAGCTTCGAGAAAAATTTTGCCTCGTTGCTGAGTAACAGAAGGGGCTGGGAGCGTGACTTTTCGGGCCTCCCAGTTGGAACACACGTTATTAGATGGTACCCAGATGGGTCAAAGACCAGTATTGGGACGGGTACGGGGGTATTTGGGCCAAGGACCAAATTTTCCGAACCTATGGGAACTTTTCCGAGTATGTTTCGGGCTGAGTTGCACGCCATTGAAATGTGCGTGCGGTTCAGCCTAGAAAGGGAGTATCGGGGAAAGGAAATAATGATTATGTCGGATAGCCGGGCTGCGATCAGAGCGATGAACTCGTTTTCAGTATCCTCCGCGGCAGTATGGGGCTGTCTTGAGAAGCTCAATGAGTTAGGCAGATGCAACCGAGTCACACTGTGTTGGGTGCCGGGCCATGTGGGCGTGGAAGGAAATGAGGACGCTGATGCGCTTGCGAGGAAGGGGGCAGCACACCTCTTCTTGGGCTGGAGCCCTTCTGCGGGATTGGACCACATACTATTCGTTGGGGATTAAGGAAGGAATCAGAAAGAAGGCGGTCGGAGCCCTGGAGAAGTCTTCCGGGGCTGCGGCAAGCCAAAGGGCTCCTGGGAGATTATGACCAGAAGCGATTTAAGAATATTATAGGGATGGGCAAGAACCAGGTGAGGGTCCTCACCGGCATTTTGACGGGTCACTGCAGGCTTAGGGGACACCTCAGTCGGCTGGGCCTGGAAAATGAGGATACTTGCAGATTCTGTGGGGAGTATGGAGAGACCTCAGTGCACCTCCTGGGGGAGTGTGATGCTCTTGCTCGTAGGAGGATGGAGGTGCTGGGAGGCTTTGCTCTAACGGTGGCGGAATTACGGTCTTCTGGTTCTCACAAGTTGCTTGAGTTCATCAGGAGGGTGAGTCTCGAGTGTGTGTTGTAGGGCATGCCCCACACTCGGGTGGGGCGCACAATAGATCCTTATACGTGGTCGAGGTGCATTGTTGCCCCCCTTGCACAAATCTACAATCTACAAATCATTTCACGTCTAATTAAGTCAAAAGCTTGACGAAAGTCTATCATAAAAGTGTAAGTTTTTATTATATTCATAGCACTTTTCCATGGTTTGTCTTAAAATAAATATTTGGTCTACAGTAAATATATTTTGTCTAAATCCGCATTGATATTTTCCTAATATATTTTCAGAAATTGTTTGGAGTTTTCTATTTATGGCATTTGAGAAAATTTTATATTTAAAAGGGCATTAATTGCCTCTGTAATTAACCCAGTCAAGCTTAATACCATTTTTTTTTTGTACAGGCACAATAATACCTCGCTTCCACTTTTCTGATAATATTTCTAGTTCCCATATCTTACATATTACACTATGTATTTGGGGCATTAATATTTCTTTGGCATTATTAATCATTTCTATTACCATACCATCTTCTCCTGGAGCTTTGTAGTTTATAATTTTCAAAATCGCTTCTTCGATCTCTCCTAGACTCGGCGCTATTTCCTCTCCGCTATGATTTCGGATTATTTGCTCTTCTGGTCATTCTGGTAGAATGGTCAACAGTCCTTCGAAGGATTCTTGCCATCTATTTAAAATACTTTTTTCTTCACTTAATGTTTTCCCGTTTTTATTGTAACAATTGTGTATTCGAGGTTGATAAGCATTTTTTTGTGTTCTTAAACTACTGTAGAATTTCCTAAAGTTCTTATTATCAAAGTTGTTACATATTTATTCTATTTTTCTCTTTAGCGCTGCCTTGTTCTTTTTTCGTATCGTTTTATTAGCATCTTTTCTTAAATTTTTGTATCTTTGTCTGTTATTTCTTGTATTTCTAACTAATAAGTTTTCTCGAGCATAATTTTTTTTTTGAACTGCTGTATTACATTCGTCATCGAACCATTCTACGTTTCGCGTCCTTTGCACCAACCCTATAGTTTTATTTGCACTGCGCTTTATTTTTTCTAGCTTGTTCCAAGTTTCGTTAATGTGTTTGTTACTAGCTACTTTGTTCCTTGATACTCTTTCGTGAATCAATTGCTTATGTCTCATTTGTATTTCTTGATTTCTAAATTTTTCAATATCCAGCTTTTTCTTTCTTAGTCTTTTATTTTTCATTATTTTGGCGATTCCTTTCCTAATACAGTTTTAACAAGAAAATGATCGCTGTCGCAATTCGCACTTCTGCATGCATGAACACCCATTATGGATGACAATCTCCTTCTGTTTATTAAAACGTGGTCAATTTGATTTATTGCTCTTATAGTAATAAATAGTATAATATAGTAATATTTCAGCTTTTTATCTTTAAGGGTGTAGAAATTTTGTAAACATTTCCACGGACTGACAGGCGGACGATCGGACGGACAGAGTGAATAAACATTTTAATAAAGAGTGCATATTCACATTTTCTAATGAAAAGCGCTACTTGGTAAAATATTGGTTTGATTCAATTTTATTGTTTATTGTAATCTCAAAACTAGATATATACATATACTTATATCATATCATATATTCATAAATTTTCTTATACATATATACATATATATACATATATATATATATATATATATATACATATATACATATATACATATATATATCCATAAAATGTACGTATATATATATGTACGTGCATTTGAACTTAACTTTTACAGGTATTTAAAAACATTGCAGCAACTGTATATTTATTAAAAAATGTATAGATCATACATAGGTATGTATATAGGTATATCGGTGACACTGAAATTATAAAATTTTTGATGAATAATAAAAAAAAATTGCAATAACTTTATACATTCATCTGATATTGTATTTGTTATGCAATTTTGACAATATTTAATATAATTAATATGAAAAGGTATTTATATTTTCCTGTATTTGCACAATATCAACTTTTCAAAACAGTAATGTGACAGATAGCTTACTTACTAGACGGGTGATTTAAAGGTATTGTAATCGTGTCACATTTTAAGCTCCGCTAAATAACTAAAAGTTATGAAATTTATTTTTACTTTAATAATTTACCTGATAATTATTTTCAAGTATGTGTTTAAAAAATATATATACATACATTTGACTAAATTTATTAAAAATAATATTTTTATGTAAAGGTGGCTTGAATTGTAAAAAATGTAAGGAATTATTGAGGAACAATCAATGTAAAGAAGATATATATCAGTCAACACAAATAACGAAACTAGGATGCAGCACATCACCGATCCTTAAAAAATTTTTACCAAAATTCAACAACAAGACAAGTTCAAAATAATTTGTTCAAAAGTAAGTTCTTGCCAATATAGATCAATAGTGCTATTGTAATATTAATTTTTACCGACCGTATTGTGTATACAATAGATAGGTTATGTGATGGCAACAAATTTTGCATATCGAGTTTTTGATGGGAATGCACTTCTCCATGGTAGGGAAGTGTAAATAAACTATTTTTAGCAACCTGTCGGTCTGTCGGTCTGTGTGTGCACGCGTGTATCTCAAGTTTGGCTGAACCGATTTTGATGAAATTTTATATGTAAGTTTATTTCGACCATGGCATGGATTCGTCATTCGAAACATTTTAGCGGGCCTGTTTTACATTTTTGACCATTTCAAAGAAAATACTCAACCGATTTGCTTCAAATTTCATATATAAGCTTCGCTCGACGGTCCGCGAAACCTCCTAAGTTTTGGAAGAAATCAGCAACTGGACGTTTACTATGGGCCGAATATACATTTCTGCGTATATAAAGAGAAATAATCAACCGATTTCATTGAAATTTAATATTTAAATTTTTCGTATTAAAACAATGAACATATAAATTTTTTGGAAAGGTCAGGGCTCGAAAACTGATCTGCGGGCCGATTTTACATTTTTCACCATATCTACGGAACGAATTGATGGAATTTCTTGAAATTTGATATTTGAGTTCTGGCTGTTACCGAAACTAACTGGCGGGAATTTCAAGGAATAGCAGAAAACGAAACTGTACTAAGAGCCAAATTTACATTTTTCTAGGTATGTTAACTATAAGCTTACTAATGTCCTAAAAATTGGAAAGAAGTTTTTAACAGACATTTTTATAATATTCTGTAACACTTTCAATACACATTGTGCTCGGTTATGTGCTGACCACATCCGATTTTTTCTCTTTCATCATCAATCATATATTTTTTGTCAAAGTAATTATTATCCACAGAATGAAATAAATAACATAGAAAAAGTTTACTGAAAAGGAAAAGTTTTATTCCAAGATTTTTTAAAAAGCATGAAATTATCAAACTTAAACACATACTCTAAAATTTTTAATCAAATTAAACAACCATTAATTAAAAAACAAAGAGAAAACGAAACAACACATGACGAAAAGGAAAATCTTAATATCTTATATATAATACACAAATTAATGTCATACTTATATGTATATCTATCATGCCACTTAGCCAGTGCTGCCAAATAGATATCCCCAAATATCTTCATTTTCAAAATAAAATCTTGACAGCGCTGAACCCAGCTGAAGTTATTTTTCGAAATTCATTTTTCTGGCGAAAATAAAAAAACTGATTTAAACTAAAAAAATATGTAGAATCTGTACAGCAAAAAATATTAATCAATTTCATTCATACGAATACTTTACAACATCCCTTGGGTTTAAATTTCATATAAATTTGGAATTTATTGTTGATTTGTAGATTGTAGATTTCTAAAGGAACCGAGTGAGGCAGGAGTAACACTCGGGCCATCGCAGTAATTCGCGACTTATTGTAGCCTTACCACGACCTCACCTACAAAGTCCCCGTTCCAAGTATGATACTGGAGACATCCCTAAGGGAATTGAAAAGCAGTTCCCGAAAGCTTGGGAAACCCTGTTCAAAACAATTGTGCCGTCGGACAGACAGTACCCAGCAGTCGCAAAGGATGTGCATGGCATTTTTTTTCACTGTCCTCGCAAAATCTGCACAGGGCGGATCCCGATTTCCCCAGCCTATTTTTTAAAAAATAAGTGCTATTAAGCACTTATTTTTTAAAAAGGTCATAAGTTTTTGAAAGAGGTTGTTACTTTTGGAATCTGGAAATTGAGCATTGTTCGTGCATTTTGCTTGAACCGCACCCAGATTAAGTGTGGGTGACTTTCTTTCTTTCACCCTGACGGTTGTTCGGAAGAAATTAAGAAAAAGACGGAACTCCGTTTTCCGTAGATCCTCCAAACTGGAATCGTCTACGGAGAAGGTGATGGAGCACCTCCCGTACGTTTCCCTGTCCATACGGAGCACTCTTTAAGATCTCATCTTCAAGCTGGAATTTTGTTTCTTTATTGATTTTATAGATGAACTTCTTCCTGAAGAGACAGACTGTTGTTTCATCCTTTGCGACATATATAACACAGATGCGCTATCTAGGAACGTTATCATCATCTAGCACAGCTATCTTACAGCCGTCCTAAGGTTTACTCCTACTGCAGACTCTCGTAATGCAATCTCTGGTGTCCCGGTTCTTGCATGCGACGGATATCCATACGTTTCTTTGCGACGACGCAGTACACTGGTGATGCGAGTCAGAAACCTTGTTCAATTCGTACATGATGGCTACTTTTATTTTCTCAATCTGGACGTCGGACAGCCTCTTAAGTATGACTCTTTTCTTTATTTTAACAAATTCCTGTTTTTGTTTTTCATTGTTTATATTCATATTTAATGGAGTATTATTACTAATAAGTTTTATTTTGTATAATTTTTAAATTAAGTCAAAAATTTGTTCTGTCTAAAAAATATGTATCTGTATATGCATTCTTTAAGTTACGTAAAATGTTTGAGCTAAACATAAATAAATAAATAAATAAAATAAAAAATAGGGGTGCAAACTATGAGCATTAGCTCTATACCCAGGCTCCTGACAAACCGCAGTATGGCAGCCACATCCCTCCGAAGCATCTCAGTCGCAGGCGAGCAACCGCCTCGCACTCATTCATTAAGTGCTCCATGGTTTCGTCCACCTCCAAGCATAAACGGCAGATTTCTTCTGCCACCCTTTCCATCCTTTTCAGATAGACCCCCACTATATCCTGCTCCTTCTAATATTCTAACCTTTGATTCGATTTTTATCCCCGCCAATATCCGCCAGCAGCTCCTTCACCCTATCCCTGTATTTTGACCAGTCGGTTCTTCGAGGCATCCTTATGAGCTCTTCCGGGCCCTCCCCGCTAAGGTAAAGACAATATGCATGTGATCTGAGAGGGAAACCCATTCAGACACATGTTAGTTTCTCAGCAAAGAGACCACAAGGGGCTACATATTGTAAGGCCTAAGACCTTCCTACGTATCACGTTTATGAAGGTCGGCTGGTTACCCATATTAGCGATATCTAAATTATTTTGTAATAAAAAATCAAAAAGGCACTCACCTCTAGGGTTCGTATCGGTCCTTCCCCACACCGTGTAATGAACATGGGCATTACAGCCCATGATGAGTCTCTTGTTCTTCCCTTTGCAGTACTTAACGAGTTTCTCTACGTCCTCTGTGGGGTATTGCTCTGCTCTCCAGGAAAGTACGCTGACGCACAGATTAGCCTCTGATTCCCATCGGTTTACTGAGGCTCGACCTCCACTACCACCAGGCCCTTTGTGATGAACTCTGGAATTGGAAGAAATTTTATAGAGTTATTAAGCCACAATGCGGCTCTTGGTATTTCATGTAGATGTGAGAAAACCCACTTACATTTCTTATTGTGTAGGCCTTTGATTTGCCCGCCATAGGCTCATGGAGGCATCTTAGCCCATTCATTAGGTTTAATGACCTCTGATGACCCTGAAGGCACCATAGCCTCCGCCATATGGCAAGTCACCGGAAGTGCACTCGCTGCTTTTTTTGGTGCATCCTTGCTGTTAGCCGTGGGAGCCCCATCCTGGTCCATTGGCAGATGTTCTGCCGCTGCCGTTTCGGCTACAGGAGTACTTTCCAGAAAATTTGGCTTTACGCTTCGACCTCTTTTTTTGAAGATGCGCTTCATTATTTTTTCTTCAATGGGGAGTATCTGATTGTTTTCCAGCAAGACGTCTGAGCCTCTGGTCGTAGTTGCCATGTCACGTGATGTTAAATTTTTCTGTTGACTTCCAGAGTGCACCATGTGGAGGTAACGGCACGATTTTACACTCCTCCCAGGGACTTTTTCTCAGTATTGCCCTCCATTGACCATTTCTGTGAAGGTCCTGCGTAAGGGGTTTTACTCTCTGACCTTTCCCTCTTCTGGGAATGGTTGGTTGTAGGAGCCGTTTCGCAGGCCCTCTGCTTTTCCAGCCTTTTCTTTTCATATTCGCGGGCTTCTTTTGAGGACATAGCATCCCTGGCGTATGCCGCGATACTGAGCTTAGTAGCCTGATAAATACATATGGCATTAACAGAAATTGAAGCCAGATTTACGATAAAAAGAAATAGAAATTTTCTTTCAACTAAAAAAAATCAGCAAGACCAGTGGTCGAAGTGGGATACACAAAGTGGTGGGAAGGTAAAAAAAAAAAAAATAAAAGTATTATTTTAGTTATTTTTTAAAAAAATAACTAAACAAAATTTACCAAACTTTGGAAGTAAACTAACTAGAATATTTATATTCAAAATTAAATCAACTAAAAATTGAATCAAAAACTGTGCAAATTCTTACCAAAGAAATGTATAGACTACTATGTAACGAAAATTTCATTAATAGAAAAAAATTATACGTGACTATTTCAAATTGGTCTTATTTAAAATTACATATATTTAATTTTTTGTTAAAAAAATTTTTAAAATTCATTAGAAAATTTTCTTAAATTTTAAAAAACATGTTCCGGAACGCATTTTTCTCTCCTATTAAGTAGTAGGATGGATTTCCAATTATTTAAAAGTACTGGGATGGCATCCCACTCCATCCCGCCTCACTTCGAGCACTGAGCAAGACAATATATGTTATTCGTAAATGAATTATACGAGTATTGCATATGGATTAAATTATAGTCAAAGATGAGAATAGAGTGATTTTATTTATTGTTACTTATGTTAATGAACTTAAATAGCCAAAAAGGTTTTCAGAAAGCAGAACTTTTCTCAGAAAATAAAAATTTGTAATTTACACCCTGTGCATAATAGATCCCATGCATCATTCAGCTGTTAATTGACTGTTGACATTCAAATTTTTCACAATTTCATAACATTTCAAATAAGTAAATAAAGAGTGGATCGATCCTAGTGTAAAAGCATTCAGGAATTAATTTATTAAGTGTTAAAACTCTCGAAGTTAATAATTTGTTAATTGGAAGTTAATTTAGAGTAAATCTGTGTTCGGAAACTTTTTTATGAACTACATAAAATCTCACTTAAACTATAAAAAGGCACGCGTGCTTATGTATACCAAAGTTGCAGAAAGGGATGAACCGCTTTGGAAAAAAAAAATGTTGGACTTTTTTGAGATAATTTAGCGTTTTTCGAAAAATTTACAGTTTTTTAATTCAACATTTTGTGTTTGAGCAGCTATTACTTGAAAACGGAAAGTCTGGCACCTATCATCGGTATATATTTTCAGGCCACCGAATCGAAACCCGAATCGAAATCTATACGATTTTTTTATGACATGTACAGTTGCTTGATTTTAATATGAATGTATCCATGAATCTATTCATGAAGATTATACAGGTGCTGAAGCAAAAAAGACTAAGGAAAAAGGCAACTTGACGAAAGTATTTGAGAATTTAACTCAAATCATATTACATTCACCATTCAGAAGACTGACAACGTGTCAAAATCTCTTAAGTAAAATGCAGACAGACAGCAAACTACTACTATACAAACAAGATTATTTTGATAAAAATTATACATATATCTTTATATGTATATATGTACATATAAAGAAAAATATATATGTGATTTAAAGAATATATGTACATATTTAAAGAAAGAAAACTACAAGCGAAACCTAATTTAGAACTAAATAAAGAACTCGAGAGATCGATTTTTCTTGAAAATGTTTATAGAATTAATTTACGTTTCGTAAAAGCGCCACTGATTAGCATAAAATAGATTTTCTCTTCCGTATTATAAAATGTCTGTCTGGCATGAGAAAGTTTTTAAAAATTTTATAAAACTTGAAAAAACTTTATAAAATTTTAGTATGCAAGCCTTTTATATGTATAATACTTTTTGAGAAAATGTGATAAAAAATGATGACGTTATCCTTTTCTGAATGTTATTAAAGTTTTTTCAAATTTTATAGTGTTTAAATTTAGTGTTTTAAAAACTTTTAAATTTATAGAATTAAATAAATAAGCTTAAAAGCTTTCAAAACATTTGTTCTTCTTTACTGATTGCATTGTTTATTTTTGATAAATATTTTGAAATTTGATGTTTATTACCTATTTCCAAGGTTTTTAAAAATTATTTTCAACTGGTTTATTTTCTTTTGGAAATTATTTTTTTTATCTTTGTGAGAGTAACGTTTCGGTTTCCCCATTTAAAAATTTTTTCAAACACAGACAGACTAATATGTGTCTGTCCAATAAAGATGTAATCATTAAAAGACTAACATGTGTAAGAAGATTATCCAATATAGATATAATTATACGACATTAATTTATTTTATTTTCAGGATACTGTGACATTAGTTACTTAACAGAAAGTTGCTATTTCAAAGATGACGAATCAATTATTAATTCTGACAATCTCACAACGAAATACTTTGAAATTCCTTCTTATTGCGATATTTGTGATTAAATGATAACAAACAATAAATGAACACGTAATATGTAAACATATAATCTTATTTTTATGAAGTAAATATGCATAATGTAAATAGTTATATAAAAGGCGTAAATTAATTTAACAGTTTTGAATCAAATTATCATATAACATTTTTCGAAAGTTCTTACCCACATGAATTTCTTAAATCTTAAATTTGATAATTCTGCAATATATTGAAGTTATTATTGTAGTATGCATGCATTGAAATAAAAAAAATTTTGATTCAAATACTTAAAAATTTTATTTTTTAAAATACATTTAAATAGAAAAACTAAAAATTATTACATAAGTATCTTAAAACAATGAAATAAGAGGTCATCCAATTAGAGAAAGAAACTAAAGTTTAATTATAATACAGTTAGTAACTCTTTCGTTGAAAACTTTAACTTAAATAATAAATTATATTAAACATGTATTGTAAGATAAGAAAACAGGGTGATTTTCCCAAACGTTCTCGGTTTTTAGTATTTTATTTAATAAATTATTAAATTAATTTGAACTGAACAAAAGATTTAATGAGCTAATTAAAATATGTAAAAATTTTTTTGAAATTCAATGCTATTTATATTAAGGTCTTCCACATAATAAAAAACCTTTTTTTGGTAAATATTGATTGACGTGTAAGACCTCGTTGAAATGTTGAATGTTGAAAAACGTTTTAATCGCATATTATTTTTTTTTTATATAATTTTATTATAAAATTTAAAAATCAATCTTTATAAAGATTAATATTTACGTACTGTTACATTGTTGACAAATTGTACATTAAGGTTAGAATCTCAAAAATTTTTATTTTCTTTAATTTAAATAAATTGTATAATGTAATAAATTTTGGATAAATCGTCCGTATGTATACATATATATTTAGTATCTTATAATAACGTTGTAAGTAATTTACTAAAATACGATTGAACAAAACTTATGCAATAATTAAATTTACGCATACTAAATTCAAAAATAGATTCTTAGTTTTACCTAAATTTATTAAAGTACGACAAATGATTTACATTAATTGTTTTTATTTAAAACGTACATACATGTATATTTATTTTTGAACACACATTTAATATTTTATTTTATTTCTCATATATTTCACTTGCAATTCAATTCCTTTTATAAATCTTTGCAAGCCTCGTTTCAAATTTTTTATACATAAAGTCACCTCAATCAAAATTTTATTTGATTTTTTTAAATATGTATTTTAAATATTTATCTAAATATTTTGACATACATATATAAATATTAAACTTACATTTCACTTAATTATTTAGTTTTCGTAACTGTACTAAGCTACTACGGATGTAAACATTTTCGGAATCGGCGAAGGTGTTGTGTAAAAAAAGTATTTAACAAAGCTTGTTTCAATCAATCACAATCTAAATGAACATGATGGAATCCGGGAAAAATATTATACAATATTTTTTTTGTTCTAAATAACATGACCTCTTTCAATAGTCACAGAAGTATTTATTTGCGTTTTTAAGTAATAATAAACCGAATATATAGAATTTGAAATATACGTTTTTAAATAAGGTATTAGATAAAATAAAATAATTGCGTCAGTACTATTTGGTGCTATTCATTTTGATATACATACATAAGTAAATAATGTCCAAGTGCGGGTGAAACAACACTTGTAGTAGAACAAATTACTTAAACGTCCACTTAGTCCATTATAGTCCTACGTTTTCATGTATACTACTTCCAAGTTTAAAATCTTATTTGATTACACTAATAGTCTAATCATGTCATCTCGCTTTTTAATCTCACTTTTTATCGACTTTTAAATTAGAATTTTCCGTTTTTCTAATTGATATTTCATTTTCAAATAAGACTACTTATTTTTTCAATTGGACTTTTGCATTTATTCTCAAGTTATCGACTGAAACTGTAACTGTGTAAATTTTATATGCATTTTAGAAAAAAACGTGGTATGCAATACGGAATAATTCTTCTCACTAGAAAATTTCTATATATATATATAGATATATTACAGTTTCTTAGTTAAGATTATAAGACTTAGATATATTATAGTTAAGCTTTTAGTAAGTAACAATATTTTCTATATATAGATATATAATTATTACTCACTAAAAGCTTAAAAATTTTGAGTTAGTTATATAACATCATTTTGATAGTTTGTTGTTAACACATCATTTTCATATCATCTGTGAAAAATATAGTGACTACCATTTGGTGAATTATGCAAATGGTTCTTTAACTATTCGTCATATAAAAAATAATGTATTACTATTATGTTACTTGTGTAGCATAGCAAAATTTTTGATCAAAGAATTCATAAAAAACCCGGCGAATCTGAGATTTTGGCAATATTTTAGATTTGTTCACCCCTGCAATAAAAAAAAAAAAAAAAAAAAAAATAATTTTAATATGTAATTAAAATTTAATTTTAATTACATATAGGATCCGTAGTTCTTTTATTATGATTGTTGTATAATTGAACGTGACTTAATTGCTGAGAAATTTAGCTATCAAAATTGAAACAATATATGGCAATAAACTTGGAATAATACTGTTGCTGTTATTGCAATAATCTGTTGTACAATCTTCACAATCGATAATTCTAGAATTTTCGGCAATTTTTTCTCTTTTGCAGGTTGATTCTTTAGCACGTTTATCAACAAAATCACAATGTCGCTGATAAATGGTTTCTTCATTTACTAAAACGGTTCAAATATTTAGAATATTATTAATTTTGGAAATCCATGCGAATTTTAATATTATACCTTTTAAGATTTTTTTCCGACACACAGCTATTAAATTTTGTGTTTCATCTGTATTATGACCATGAGTCTCAAATTTTGAACAGTTTTGTGTTAGCAGACCAGTTTTTTCTAGCTTTTCTGAAATTTTATTTTGTATTAATTTTTCACCACAAAATTCTTCATGTCCTTCCGTTTTTGAACTACATTGCCAGCACTGTAAGGCATTTCCTAAAATGCAATAATATAAACTTTTAATAATGGATAAAATCTAAAACATAAAATATTAAAAGTTAATATTATTACACTAACTTTTTGATCTCATATGGAAATAAGATTGATTATTAAGTAAACAAAATATATAAATTAATTTTTTTATATAAATAAAGAATTATTAATATAAATAAAGAAATCTCAGCTAAGAAAATTCTACTATGCAAAGATATGAAAAAAATATCAATGATTTCTGTATTGTATTATCAGTATAATTAAAAATTGTACACATACATTATAATAATATATTTTCTTTTCCCGTTCATACGATTATTTAATATTATGTAAAATGAATATTATACTTTTTCTTAAATTTATCGAATCTACTATAAATCTTATTTTCTTCCAAACCTGTCTTCTAATCTCCTAATCGATTCTCTTGAACAGCATTTGGTATATAGTATGGAATTATTATAAATTATAAAAAAAGCATTATACAATATTGACAGTGTTTTAAAGTAAACTATTTATTTTTCACAATGGCTCTTTAAATTGTGTCTAGGAACGTTTCTCCTTTTTTGGGCTTCCTTAATAAAATTTATGTACATACATATATATGTGTCTTTGGTAGTATGAACTGCTTATTTAATATTTTTATTGTTTATGTGATTATTTCTTGAAGGATTGATTACCAAAAATATTCACAAACAAAAATTTTGTCTCTTTAGTATTGCTTTAGTAAAGACTTTTACTTTGGTGTTACTCGATGATTTTTTAATTCTATATTTTTGTTAAATATTTAATGAATTTGCTAATTACACATACATATTTATTTTTAAATGTGTAATTAAATATTAACAAAAAAAAAAGAAATGTTACGGAAAACTGCATTATGTATTTTATATTCATTTTACAAAAAAAAGAAGAATAATAAAAAAACTTAAAAAAAAACTGCATTTTTTAATAATGATAAACAAGATTATAAAATGGATTTGGTGGATCAAAAATATAGAAATGTTAAGAGCCACTGCTTTATATGATTGCGTACAGAGAGACATAATCATACTATTTCGCCTTATTTATATACACACACACTAATGATTATTTTTCCCTTTTGGTTCTTGTAATTTCAATAGTAATGTTATTATTCAAAATATTTTTATTAGACTATTGCGACATGAATATGTCTTTAAATATTCTGGAAATTATGCTATTTTTGTTTTAATAAATAATGTTTTTTTTTATTTAATAATTTTGTTGATAGGTTTTGAAATAAAACTGCTCTAACTACAACCGTGATGTCATCATTTTATTCCCATTCATTAAACTCGTTGTTTAGTACTCGTATATGTATGTATTATGAAAATGCGCAAAAAGAACCTTACCATGAATTAGGTAAATTTCTTTGGTTTTCATTATGTATGTATAGGTTTGAGTAGTGTAGATTAGATACTGGCTTTCTACTTTAACTATAGTTGCATACGATGACAAATACAATTTTCGCAATGTAAATTACGTTTTTGATTAATTTTTAATTTGAGCGTTAGTTGGGCAAATACAATGGAATTATATGAACAAAAGTTTAAATTCAAAATATTTACACAGCACCGAATTTCTTACATGCATGAAATATGAATATATTATTATATCATATTATATTATCAGAATTCTTATATATATGTATATATAAACATATTCTCGTATTTATTGGCTACAATTGTTTAATCGTAAAAAACATAGAAATTCTATATTAGAATTTTTACCACATTCCTACTTAAAATGCAACCTCAGTATTTGTATTCTGTACTCAAAAAAAATAGTTTGTTCTATTTTTTACAAGTAAAAATCATTAAATAAGAGCTATGCAATAGGAGAATGTGGACGTGTTTTACGTAAAAATTTGTACATTCTACTAGTAATTTCATATAAAATGAGCTGTATTTTAGCCACGGTGTTCGAGATTCTAGAAGAGAACTAATTGAAAAAAATTGGCATTACTTGGAGTTTGGCATTAGTAAAGCAAATCCGATTGATGCTAGACGAAAATAGATAAAACTTTGAGCTGGGCTACTGGGCAACAATAGGGTTCTACGACATTATATTTCCTTTTTCTTTAGTAATTAAATTTTATAAGTTCTTTCTGTGCAGACAGCAAAAACACACAAAATTTTTCACATTTTATATACTTTCAAAATTTTGTCTTAAATGAAAGAGAGTGTACAATCACTCAAAAACTACTAACGTGATTTTGCTGCACAAATTTGTTGATATTCTCAAATTCATTTCTCATATTCATTAAAGGATCAAGAGAACCCATAGTTCTCAGAAGAATCTCAAGTGATGTAACAGAAAAAAATTATTTGATATAAGATTTCAGAAATAAAATAAATTACAACTGGGTATCCCTTTCAGCACAACTGGGTACAACTGGGATAACGCTTTCATCATCTAACAATTGCTAGGGTTATCTTATATGACAGATTTTTCAAATGATTTTACTTCGTGTATACCTGTCTGATCACTTCCTACTTTCACAATCTCTGCAATAATTACTTTTACTTCTGCACTTTTATAATCTCTCGGTAGGAGAGATTGTATAGCATATGGAGTAGCAATTCTAAAAACGAACAAAGAGCAGCTTTCTTAACAGTTGGAAAGGACTTTAAAGATAAAATTTTAAACAAATTTAAAAATTACCATTACATTAATAAAACTGCTAAAGTGAGGGTATATAACTGAAAATTTACTTTCAAGGGAGCAATTTGACTTTGTAGTGCGTTAGAAGCCTCTTTTCATTATTTAAGAACTATCATATAGTCAAAAATCTACATGGTTCTTAGTAAAATACCTAGAAGCATGTAGATTTTTGACAATAACCTACACGTAACAAAAGCAATTACGTTAGAAAAGCTTTGGAAATAGATTTTTGATAATGCCAATTATAACAATTTGTGAAAGTTCTTCGTTATAGAACTACTGCGGCTCAGTATGCCTACCAATTTCACATTGACTCAGTTTTTTATGAAAATATTTTAAACTTTTTTTTTTCTATACTACCTGTTATTGATAAGGAAAAAGTTATTTACTCTCCTCACTTTAAAAAGCCTATTATATTCATATAGGTATATATATAGGTATATATGAATATCTTATAGAAGTATTTTTATAGATGTATGTATATCATTGCATTGAAAATTTATAACATTGATTTTATGTCTCAGATTAGTGGCGCCACTTTCCACTGTTGGATACAACATAATTTTAAGAAAAGATTGTTTTGATTGTAAGGATACCAAACCTTACAATTTTGCTAGTCAAGACTGGGAATATAGTTTTATATTTAAGTTAGACATAGACATACTACTTACTCATACTTCAGTATTTAACTTAATTAAATTAATTACAAAATATATACTTTGTTTAGGGTAATAATTAAAAATAAAAATTTGTATGTTTTTTACAAAAATTTACATTCCTCTGTATATGATATGTATATAAATATATTTAAGTAATATAAGTAAGTTTAGTATAGACAAATTTAAGATTAAATTTAGAGATAACTTTTCAGGTACATATTCATTTTATGAATGTAGCATAAATTTTATAATAAATAAAATACATATACATGCATACACATATTACCCAATTAAAACTACTCACAAAGTTTTAGTTATATGTCCTTTGGACCGTAATTTTGAATGTCTTAACCGAACTTAATTAGCTAAGCTACTCAACATATTTAAGAGATAATATTTTCCAAGGGAATATTTTTAAGTTTCTTTGATTTCAAAAAGCTAAATTGATTATTTAGAAGATTCTTTTTTCTTACATAATAATTATGTGTATAAATTTATTTAAGAAATATTATTGAAACTATATTATTGAAGTGCATTTCTTTTCAAATCCAATCATAAAGTCTCTCAATCTTGTAATAATCAAAGTATTGTAAGTTAATATTATTGATAATATTTAAGTATAATCATTTAATAATTAAATCTATGTATATACGCAACTGTATAAAATTTAACTTGGATACTTTATTGCTGTTCAAATAATCATTGTATGATAAATTTTTACTTGTCTTTGATTCTTCAATAGTCAAAGAGTTTATTGAAACTAAGAAAAATATTAAAGTTTCAAGAAATTAAAGTTTTTATTTCCATTTCATATTTTTCTTCCTTCGCAAAATATTATTGATCCCTTTTGTATTTATTGCTTTAATAATTTATTTTATACGCGACGTACATACGTTTTACATCATATTAATAAACATTAGCCCTGCATTATAGTTGTAAAAATATTTATTGTTATAAAGAATTAATTTTAATAACACAAGATTAAAACAAGTTTTGTATTTTTTGTGTTTTTGTTTGTTTCGTATTATTTTTTTACAATTATGGGTTATGAAACTGTTGTTTATTTTCCACGAACATCGAATTTAATTTCACATTGTAAACTATTTGAGAAACTAACTATAACAAAATGAAAGTATTTGCCTCTTTTTTTGGTGATTTGGAATCAGGACTAACATTAAAAGATACTCTTATTCAAAAAAGGAGCATAGATTTCGGAGGAGAAGTAGATCTTGTAGGTTCACAAAAGTTATTTTAGACATCGCTACAGATCATTTAGTAAATTTATAAATTAAGTCTAATTGTGCGCTCACTTGTCGCTTTAAAGGATAACTTTTAAATAATATAATCAACCTACCTTGAACAAAAGAGGCCACAAGAAAATTTAAAATTAATATCAAGTTATCCAGCGCAACCATTTTAGTACCAGTAATGGAAATGTGTTTGCTGACCAAAATTTAGTTGTTTACTAACAAATTTAGTTGTTAAACGTTTTTGAGGTTTTATATCCTTTATATTTGTATAAGGTTTTATACGTTTACTAATTTTTTTTTTATTTAAATATTTCTTGCATTTAAATGTGTTAGCTGCTCTCTGATAGTCATTTATGTCAAAGTTTATCTTTAAAAAAACTTTTTAAATTGGTGGGATAATATCATTCTTCATTAAGTATATAAATATTTTATTTTCACTTTAGGCAAAAATCATTTTCAACAAATTAATATTTCTATTTTGCACTATAAAAACAATAATGTTTATGCCAGTTCAAAGAAAAAATCCTTGAAAATGTTGTTTATGTGTACGCTTTCAAACTTGAACTGAAAGTTTTGGCTTTTTTTCCTTTATTATTTCAAATTAACATGAACGAGGGCCAAATAATGGAAATTAAAAGAAAATTTTAAAAGGATAATATATTTTATACTTGTAGTAGTAACACGAAAAAGCTGTTATTTAACGCAACTTAGATTAATATAACCGTTATTTTAAATTTCGTGAGAATGCCTTGGCAAAAGGCGTAGTGCTGTCAGAAACATAATTCATTAGTACCTTTTTTTGTTTTTTAGCGACATAACAAAATTACGCATTACATGAATAATTGCCTTATTCATATATGATTCATAATTCATATATAAATCTTAATTTCTAAAACTTTTTAAAATAAAAGACAATGAAGAATTTTTTAAAGGTACCACAGAAGATGCTCATAATTGTATGGCTTTTTTATACAAAAAATGCTTTAATAATTTTTTCAATTTTACTATATTTTACGAATTTAAAATTGAGAACGTTCAGAGTTACCTCCTTAATATTAAATTGATTTTTTTTTTAGTAAAATCGAGAATACTGCTAGTAATTCTCGTAATTTTTTGTTATCATAACTTTATTTTTTTACATTTTTTCATAAATAACATAACCCTTTGATAGATCAAATAAATTGTAATATGGTACCCATATTACATTTCAAACTCAAATCAAAACTTTGGTTTTGATGGAAGTAGTTATTTTTGATTTAATCGAAATACACTCTTACATGTGCATACATTGTATACTTATATGTAGATAACTTAAACTACATAAAAATATACATATTTATACGTATTTACGTATTATTATAAAATTTTTGTCAACATTTGTTTCAACAGTATGACACAACATTATTTCTGCGCTGAAATTTTTTATCATACAAAAGACAACAAATTCTTATAACAAAAGATATTCGTACTTTTAATAAAATTTTCTAAAAAAAAAGCACAAAATTGGTTTGTGATTAGAAAAATTTGTTTCCGTGAAGAAAAGCAAAAGTTTCTGATTGAAAGCTTTTGTACCGGAATTGTATTAAAATAATTAAGATAAGATATGTATATTCACATATAAAGTGTAAATGGAGCTTTACATACCTACTAACTCAAAAATGAAATCGTAGTAAAAAGCACTGAAAATATGATTTGTTTTGAGAAACATTGTGTACAAAACTTCACAGGTGGCTATCAAAACTTCATACAGAGTGTTTTCCGTAAGGCTAATCGGGGATGGCTTTTTGATCAATTTCCGGCAAAAAATAGCATGCGGGATGACGCGGGAGGGGTGGGGGAAAGGGGAGGCAGGGAGAATATATTCGTTTTCGAGCCTGTTGAAGAAAAGATGCCAATTTTTTCTGCATATAAATAAATGGTCATAGCTTCGGAACCATATGACATAGTGTAACCATCAGTGGCTTATTGTATTTATTGCTCGGAATATTCTGAATCAGTGGCTCGGTGATTTATTACTCGGAATATTCTGAATATCATATTCTCAATTCCGAATTACTAAAAGTCTTCTCTGTATATTCGCAATAGAGTAATCATAAATTACGTTTGTACTAAAAATACATGTCAAAAGTCTACGAAAGAAATAATAAAGCTGTTTTAAGAGAACGTTTGGTTTAATTTTTTTCTAAAGTTAAAAATTCTCTGTTTTATTCTTCTTCTAAAGTAGCTAACATGAAGGAAAATGAATTCTTATTTGCAAAAAAAAAAGTTTTCATTTTTCAAAAATATCCAAAAATGTAAAAAACTGCAAAACTTTCATACACAAAAGGATATTTTAAAAAATATTAATTTCTTTTTGTATGACAGGTTTTTACTTAAATAACAAAAAAAAAGTATAAATAAACATTTGACTTTTAAAATAAAATACAGATTTTGACATTCCGAAGAATGGTGCTGCTACTGCTAATTCATAATCTCTATGAGGGGAATTCTTAATAGGGCTGCGTATTTTTATCGATGCTTTAACTACACAAGAGTTTTTATTTTAAGCACTTTTCTAAAAAAATTTTGAAAAAAGTGTTTATTAGTTTCACTTTAACCGTCCGTCTCTCCGTCGGTCTGTCCATACATTCGTCCGTCCGTGTGTCTCTTTACAATAATTCTACACCCTTAAAGATATAAAGCTGAAATCATATGTACATAGTTCTTTACTAGAAACTTATTTCCGTTGAAGCAAATTTTTACCTGTCTCCCCCCTTTAAAAGTAATAATCTCCAAAAACTTTAAAATGCCATTTTTCAACTATTTATTGCAGCGAAATCATAAATATTTATCAAATTTTGCAAACACAGAACAGTAGCGGCAGGCTTCTTCTACCGCGGTGTACCTTATTTGAACTTCAACAAAATAAAATGGAGCTCAAAATTTACGGTTATCTAAAATCTGTTTTTCCCAAATTTTTTCTGTAAAATCAGCCTGCAGGGCTCTGAAATTTTAGCAGCTTTTAGAGAGTAATAAATAGTTCATTTCGTTAGAAGAAAAATTTTTTCCAGCTCCACCCCATCTCAAATTGTCGCCTCTCGAAATTTGCAAAATTTGAATTTTTGGCAGCTTATATTTCCGAAACTGTAAGCTTTTCCAAATGTTTATAGATGCAGAATGCTAACGACAAATTCTATGTCGTGAAAAAATATTATATATATTTTCCTTAACTCACGTAATCAGGGCTGTCGTTTGATTTTTTGGATAAGGAACAGAAATATTCAAAAAAGGATTTCTTATTTTCAAAAAAGTGGAGTAAAATTCCTATATTTCATAAAAATAACAATTCATTATCGTACGAAAACAAAAAAAAATCGGAAAAACAAAGCAAAAACTTTTAATAGAAATTATAAACAAATTAACAAATGTCACAATAAAAACTTAAACTTAAAATAATATTTTTACATGAAACTTCATATAATTTTATACTTCTTTTAAAGTTTAGGTTCTAGTTATGATGATCAGAAAATACCTTAAAATATTAAAGAAAGATTTTTTCTGATCATATGTTTAACGTCTTATTCATTTCTCTATACGTGCTTTGTCAACAGCATTAAAATGCGGTTGACAAAACGTACTTTAAATAAAAACTAGTAAAACATTTCAATTAACATAAACCGATTTTTAAAGGGCACCTTTCATTGCTGTATAGCAATTAATCGAGCCTGTGAAACCATTCTATAGAAACTTCACGGATATTTCTAACCTATAATTATACACATAACTGCCAAGATTCATGAATCTAATTTTATTATTTTTCTAAATATTTAAAATTAACTTTTGCACTTGTATTATGACTATCAGAAGCTGTTTTCCGAATCGGTCCAATTACAATAGGGTTCGTCGCTGGAACAAAAGAAACAACTTGTGAAAGTTTGGTGTCGATTACATTATTCGTTTTTCAGTTATCTCGTGGTCAGACGGACGGACGGACATGCATAAATCAACGCAGAATTGAATGAAAAATATGTGCTTCAAATTTTTTTACTATAAGTTTAAATAAGATGGCAACTTGGTTCCTAGCTGTTCGCATCAATATTTTTAAACAATTCTTTTGATTGTAAAATATTGCTTACCATACCTCAACATAAAAGGAGTTTCTCAATTTAGTTTTAATCAAATTATCAGAAGAAAATACCATTTAGCTTTAAATAAATTTTTCAAATTTTCAAAATGCATATACTCGATCGACTTCAATTAAGATATCAAAATTGCATTTTTATCGTTTATTGAAAAAAATCTATACAAATATATTTCGTCTGCTTACGTCGACGAATTTTCCTAAGTCTGGTTATTTGTTACTATAACTGACTAATTAATTAACTTGACTATAAAAAGATAGGTGGCAGCTTTTGAATTATCAAAAAACGGTATATGTACATAATTTCGTTGGTCAAGGTGTTGTCAACGATTTTGAAATACTACAATTTTTTTACTATTTTTTACTACAACGATTTTTTAATACAGAATTTTTTCATTTAGAAATTATATTTTTCAATTGAAATTTTTTTTTCAAGAATAATTATCAATATTGTTTTTGGGTTTGACTGATCAAAAAACAAAATCGGAGCCTAATTCCAAAGGAGGAGCCGGGGACACAAATTTTCAAATCGGAGCCAAATGACAGGCCCGCACGCAATTAACCCTTAAATTGCGACATTATGTTAACGCCTCTTTCAATTTTAGTTTCGTTTTATTTTAAAGACTGCATCAATGCTCATCCAACAGGTATGCAATCTTTGAAATATATTCGTATATGAATGAAAGTAATTTTAATAACGTTAAAAAATAAAAGATTGCTTTAAAAAACAGTATTTTCACTTGTGAAAGGGAAAAGTAGTATATTACAAACTTTATACTTCATCCGTTCCTTGTCTTTAAATTGTCAACCCTATTGTGTGAATATTTTGCACTTTTGCATGCATACGTATTAAATAAATCTATAATTTAACTGTGTCTATACATTTATTTGCATACAAATAACAAATATACGTATGTATGTATATTAACATAATTTGAAAAGTTCTTAAAAGTTATTTATGTCTAAGCTAAATGTATATGATTATCTGAAATTGAATATTTCTAAATTCTATATATTTTCTATTAAACTAAAAGTTAGTTTTCTAGAAAACTAAAAGTTGGGCCGAAAATTATTAAGTAATAGTAATTAACACTAAAAAATGAGCCATTTGCATAGAAGAACATTTACTTGATTTTACATTTAAAATTGTAAAATGTTTATAATTTTAAGATATAGTGAAAATTTAAATAGCCATTCGCAAATACATTCATACATATTACAAAAATATATACGTATCGATTGCTACAACAATCATCGTTACAAAAATTAGTTTGAAGTCTTTCCACAATTT